CCAGTTCCTCGTCGATGACACCCATGAGCTCAACCAACGCACACAACCTCTACAACCCATACCTTTCCAGTGCTTATATGAGTGCTTCAGCCGGTAATGGCAGTGGACTTATGTCTCAACACAACTCTAAACACTACCGGCCCTGGGGGGCGGAACTCGCCTTTTAGACCATCTATTCATTCATACCGTGAGATAAGAAATCATTTGAAATAAAATTTATTTTATTTTTAGTAAACTTATATATTCATCGAAAATATTTTTAGATAATTAGTTAGAAATGCTTTATATTTATAAATTTCTAAATTTCTAAATAATATAATTATTGGAAATATTTTTAATGCATTATATAAAATTTATTATTTTTTTAGTCATTAATACTCGAAAGTATTTTGTAAAAACTATTTTTATTTATTATATCGATCATATATCCTATGATTTATTTCTAGTCTTATAAACATTTTGTAAATATATTGATGATTTTATATAAAAATAAAATAAAATCGTATTTTATTTGATACTTGATTTGTATTACATTTTTATTGTCATTGCATTGCATACAATTACTTTGTATTGAATGTGTTTGTATTGTGTCTAGTAAGTCAATAAATCATATATCACATGCAACATATAAATCATCAAATATCAATTAAATAATTTTGTGAAATATGAATTTACATTATATTCATATTTTCTTGGGAATAATATCAATTTTTAATAGTGTATACTTTTATATCTTACTTTAACTTTACAATTTTTCAATGTTAGTTCTACCAGTATTAGATATTAGATAGTATTAATGTTAGATTTAATTTCATTTCCACTAACATTTAAAGGTATATGTAAATTTAATAAGTTATTATAACTGAGAAACTGATAGAAAACATGAAATAATAATTTGTAAAACTTTTTACATACAAAGCAATGTTTAGTATTTAGTATCTTTAAAATATTATTTTATTGAAAATTTTTAACTTTTACTCGTAATTTCTATTAGTAATAGACTACGTGTATTACTGTATAGTGTATACAATTATTTATTTATTTAAAGAATTTAGTAAATATTCTAGTGTACAGTATATTGTATTTTTACACCTGACTAAACTTTACAGGTATATTGCTTTTTCAAACAGTTGTTATTCATAAGACAATCAATTATTAATAATAAAAACATTTATTTCCGAATCGATTTGTTATTATTGCTGAACACTTGTATTGATTTTGAAATCGAGTGCAAATGAAGTACATTTTAATTATGTGTTTTACATATAGATTCTTTAAGTATATTGCACATAAGTTATCAACATAAATTGTTCTGTTTCAGTTTTACATTATTGTAATTATAGACGACTTGTAGAATTAGCACTAATTCGTGTGACTTAATTAATTTGTATTAATTACCTTTTTATACTGTATAATTAACAGAATCGTTGGTCATTTAATTACAATACTGTTTACAAATTAACAAACTTCGATTTTTAATTAATTTGCAATCTAATATTATTAAGTTTATATATAAGTAACAAGTAAGTTTTAGCCACAATTATCAAAATGAATCAAAGAATATGTTGCGTTTGTGGCGATCGGGCTGTTGGTATGAATTTTATTAACTTTTTTTGTCGATATACTGTTTTAAGTTTGATATAACTTACCACAAAATTATGATGATTTTTAGGTTATAATTTCAGTGCACTTACGTGTGATTCCTGTCGATCATTCTTTAGACGGATTGCTCCCAGGGCTCAAGTATTTTAAACTGGACTGACATTCATTACCTTTTATAGAAATGACATTTAATTTTCAATTAGGAATTTAAATGCTTTTTCAAGACTAATAACTGTGAGATTACATCGACGACCAGAAAACTGTGCAAAAAGTGCAGAATTCATAAATGCTTTGCTGTGGGAATGAAAAGAGTGTGTGTTTTCATAATTATTACATATTTTTAAATAAATTTTAAATCATTTAGGAGTCCATACTCTCTGGTGAGGACAGGGATTACACGAGTCGAGGCAATACTGACGCTATCGTTGACTCGACCACCGATTTATGTGCAGATTTGCATCGGACTACCACTAATGGACAAGGGTTTAGCCAGCAATTCATGAACATACCGGCCCTCATAAGGGGTCTGATCTTTAATTTCCAAGAATTAGAGATCAATCGCTTGAAAGAGTTGTTCAGTTCTGCGGCTGTCATGAGAGAGCCGTCGCTGAGGACCACATCCGAGACCATCAATTTGATGGACGCCTTCCGAGTACTTCAGATGCGATGTGATGTCAAGTGTCGACGAATCGTAAAGATGTCCACAAATATGACTGAATTCGTGAATCTGTGCGATGAGGACAAGATAGCGCTGCTGAAGACCGGCTGTCCAGAGATTATTTGCTTGATATCTGTCCTGAACTTCAATTTCGACGGCGAGTTCTGGACCGTTGACATCGTAAGCCTTATTTAAACGCAATTTTATTGTATTTTAAGTATGATTTTAATTTTGGCAAAAGGATGGCGAAAACGCAACCGTATTAAGACTGGATCTGTTTCGGTATGTGTCCGGAAACATATACGACGAGCACAGGAGGTTCTTGTTTGCCATCAACGACGAGTACAATAATGACATCAATATCATTGATCTGGTATTTTATGAACTTGTTAACATAATTATATTACAATAATATCTATTCTGTACAGTATAAAATTTTAATATAGAATATTCTGTTTTATAGATAAATAACATTTGAATTTTAAATTTTAGTTAACCGCTATAATACTCTTCAACCCAAACCACCCAAACCTGATTCATAAAGACCTGGTTAAGTGAGTGACAACTAATTGTATTGACTATTAGTATTTATTTGAAATTATTAAACTTATTTTAATTTGTAATAGACTCCAACAGCAGACTTACATGTATTTACTTCAACGCTATTTAGAGATTAAACACAACTCTAAGAGTGAATCCGAGACCCGATTCTTGCGATTAATGAATTGTCTGCAAGTGTTGTATCCATTGAACCGAATACACGTCCAGAGGATTAGGGAAACGGAGCCCCAAAACGCCGGTCCGCTCGTCGAAGAGATCTATGACATTAAGCCACAAAATGCATTGTCTTATATGGTATCTTAATTATATTGGTTATTAACTAAACCTACCAGTTAATTATAAACTCACCACAACATTAAACAGTTGTCAATGTGTTTGTCAATGTGTGGTTTATACTTTTGCTCCAAAAGTTTATTATGTATACAATATTAATTTGATATTCCTAATTCAGCAAGATCTTGATTATCTCAATTGTAACATTTTTATTTCATTTATTTAATGTAAACATAATCTTAATTCAATTATTCATTAACCCGGATTCAATTATTTTACCTGTATACCTAAACTTTAGATTCTAAAGTCTTAATACAAAACCTCTGTAATAATTTCAAGAATTATTCTTAACCTAGTGAATAAGTCACCTATATCATAATCAATAATAATCTCAAAGAGGTTTTACAGGTGATACATGCACTGAAAAACACAAGTATCGTTGAAATTTGAGATAATAATTTTTTATTAAGTTTATATGAACTAATAATTTAATAAATACAGTGTTAAACAATTATTGGCAAAAATACACAGAATTTATTGGCCCTTCATATTAAACACTTCCTTCAGAAGTGGTGAACAATCGGCAACTGGACTCCTATCGGCCACTATTTGCATCTGGGTCTCACCCAAAAAGTAAACGTCACTCAAAACACTCATTAAACGCGAAAATTTGGTTCTCAGCACCGAATCCGACTGATATTTCACTGTTAGGTAGCGTTGAAGTAAATACAGGTATATGTATTGCTGTAATCTAACAATTTATTTGAAAAGTTTTACATGTTTTAGAAATACAGTAATATTAATAGAGGCTCACTTAACAATATCCGGGTGCTCTAGATTTGGACGGTTAGGGTTGAATAAGACAATACTTGTTAGCTATATTCAAAACATGACAATTCTTGTTAATTTATATTGGTGAGTAAAATGTCTGAAATACCAAATCAATAATAATTGAATCCCTGTCCCATTCGCGGCCAATTTGTTGCAAATAAGTTTTATGAGCGCCGTATATATTCCTCTGTCCACCTCTTAATATCTCTAAATCCAATTTTACTGATGTCTTATTGTCCTAGATCATATTAATAACTAGTTAATTTTGCATTAATACCAGAATATTCTGTAAAATTAACTTACAATATACAGATTCCAATACTGATTGTCATAATTATACTTTAATACTGATCGCATATAAAGCAAATCAATGCACCCGTATTTAATCAAGGATATCTGGTCGCCCTCACAGAGCATTTCAAATCCTTTCAAATTCTTGGTGAATGCAATTATATTCTTGATATCCCTGTCCAACACAAACCGCATTACTCTTTGTGCGTCACCTAAACACTTGATTTTGGACGACATTTCATTCAATGGTGTCTTCAAAACATTTGCAGCGTTTAGTAATTCAGAGAATCGTTTGTACTCCAAATCATTAAAGTTTTGGTTAACACTTAATTGTCTCAACACCGGTATCAATGAGATTTCATGTTCTTTGGCAAACTTTTCACTATCATCTATATATTTCTCAATATCCATGTTCTTTGCTATGACATCATTGGACGACAGAGGACTCGGATCACTTGTTGAATCAGGACTACTTATCCCAATGATCTCATCTAGGTTTTTAATTGCTTTCGGTTTCTGTGGTATTCAAATAAATCACATAAATTTCACAATAAAACACTGACTGATAAAACAATACCTTTTTCATACCAATGGCCACACATTTATCAAGTCTACACTTTTGGCAAAACTTTCTACTATAGAAACTTATATTACACTTGCTTTCGAAATAACAAGTAAAACTCTGTAATATGATTTTTAGTTTGTTAATATTTTTAATAAATTGTTTAAATAAAAGTTTATAAAAACCTTTTTTAAGTCACCATATCGTCTGAAAAATACTTTACACGACTCGCAAGTAATGGCACCAAAATTTCTCCCTAATGTATAAGATATACAGTATATTAAATAATTATTATTAATTTAAATTATAAAGTATATTTGACAATTAAAAACATACCGATAGGCTTATCCCCACAAATACTGCAAGGTTCTTTAATTACTCGTTTAGGCATTATTTTGTGAAAAGTTTGTATTTAATTTCGCATAAATACCAACATTTATCAAACTATTATAAAATTTAGCGCAAGATAACGTGTAACTAATGTACTCAAAATTATATGACATAATCTCCAATGAAGCCATCATTAGTTTAATTTGCAACAAGGTTTAGTGTGCTGTGGTCACAGATACTATGGTTACCGATTATATGTTTATAAGTTATACTGTAAAGTATAACTTAAATTTCTAGTGCTGTTTATAGATTTACCGAATAACATTTATAATAATCTTGTGATATAATATAATAACTCATTCATATAGTCATTTATATAATAACTTTATGTGACCAACAGTGTCACAATTGGGATAGTACCTAAATTATGCTAGAAAATAATACAAGTGTTAACTTTGATATCATACTGTATATTGAATATTTAGAATATAGACTTTTAAATAAACATAATACCTTATACCGTAATAAACTTAAATTTTATTATACCACACTTACACCACAGCTTATACAAATCATTAATAACGATATTGAAAATATATTTTATTTTCTTAAAATAATACATTATTTAAATTTATTGTAAATGCTTATGAATTTAATTTATATTCCAAATACATAATTAGTATAATCAACTAAACATACAGCATGTTAGTGAAACATAAGGAATATATTAACTTAAAATATTGAAACTTATACATTGACAACAATTCAAACACATACATAACTCATTATAAACCAAACTTACAAAATTGTACCATAATTCATGAATACCTTTAATAAGTTTTAAAATAACAATTAACTAATTCAATATGTTGATTATCTCAAATTGCACGTAAGTTTGTGATGCTCATAGAGTATAAGAATAAATTGTTTATAAAATTAAAAATCTATTAAAACATAGAGTCTATAACTAAATTGAGTACTTAATCAACACATTTTCATTGAACTAAATTGAACTCAATTTTCTGCAATAGCACTAAAGCTTCCAAAGCCTATCTGGGTATAGTCGCAAATCTCCCGGAGCAAAGGGCTCAGTTTGTCATAGACCAATTCGATACAGCTTTTCACATGGGCCTCCCTCAAGAGGTTTAAATCAATTAAAGTGCTCATTAGTCGCAGAAATTTCGTTTTTGATTCATATTTCGACGGATATCTCATCATTAGATAGCGTTGCAGTAAATACATGTAAACGTGTTGTTGGAGTCTATTAACAGTTAAAAATTTTATATTTAGGTAATTTATATGGATTTAAAATAACGGCATTTCCATCACATACTTAACCATTTCTCTGTACAATAGGTTCGGACGATCCGGATTAAATAACACGATTGCACTCAACTATCATACAAACAAGGCAATTAATATGAAACATTTCAAAACAAAATTTCTAATTTATAACTAATTCACATACTATATCCAATATAATAGAGTCGCCCTCCCATTCGGGTCTTATTTTTTCAAAACAACTTTTGTATGTTTGGTAGAGAAAGGGTTTATTTTGTTTCAAGAGATCCAACTTTAATATAGTTGACTGACTATTGTCCTAAAAAGTGCATCAAAGTATGAATTAATAAAAATATATTAAACACATTATAATAATGTCCAAAAAATAATGCAAATATTTACAGTGACTAGAGTCCAGTACTCTTTGTCAAAGTTATAATGAAGCGTAAGTCTGAGGCAATAGATCTCAATGGAGCCATACTTGACCAGGGCTATTTGGTCATTCTCGCAGAGCTTCTGGAACGAGTCCAAGCATTTGGACATTTTGATAATCTTGAGGATCTCCTGCTCGCACTTATATCGCCACACATTACAGCCGTCATCCATAGTCATGGCCTCGGAGGTGATGGGAACCACTGGCGATTTCAAGATGTGGGTGGCGTTTAGCAGTTCCGCCAATCGAGTCATCTCCAGATCGTTGAACTTGTCGGTCAAGTCGGTGACGGGTCGGGCGATCGGTATGAGAGACATCTCAAACTCGGCTGTCTTTGCGTACACCGACTCCGGTATGGCAATGGACGCCGCTTTGGTCTCACCGTCCGGCGCATCCGAATTGCTTTTCTCGCTCTTGTGGTCCGAGGAGTCGTGCGATGAGTTTGTGTCCATCGATTTGGGCGACGAATCGGTTTCGCCATCGCCTGAACTTTTCCTCTTTCGCCGGTTTTCTTCGATTTTGTTGCGACGGATACTCTTCTGCTCGTCGTTTAGGATCCACTCCTATGCCAAACAATTAGTGTGTCAGACACTCATCAACTGTTTTAAAGTGATCACTAAATGGACACCTTTTTCATGCCTAAGTCGAAACACTTCTTCATTCGACACTTTTTGCAGAACTTTCGCGAAACCAAATCGATTCGGCAGTTGTTCTCGAAGTGACATTTGAATGCCTCCAGAGAGACAATCGGATTAATTGAGTGATCAAACAATTTATGATATTTAGTTAAATACTCGTTGAAAATCATGTTATTAGCGAACGATATTCAGATAATTACCTCATATTTGGAGGCATTCCTCCTGAAGAAGGCTTTACACGACTCACAGCAGACAGCGTTGAAATTATAGCCTAAATACAGAATTGTATTGAAAAAACTTGTTATACAAAAATTATTATAATCCTAACAATAGTGATAATAAGTGGAAAATATATTGACCCCAAAGTAACCTTTTATTAATAATTTAATAAGTAATACTAGTAACAAATGGCCTAAAAATTAAAACTTGATATCAGATAATTTGTAGGCCATCTATTTATTGATATATCAGTAATTCAGTGATATTATCACATGTAATGCTAAATTAGTGGCCAATCACCACAACTTACCAGTCGCTCGATCGCCACAAATGACACATAATTTAACCAAATCCTTGTTTCCCATTGTGTGACAATTAATGGCAATCAGTATTACTTGCGGCAAATGTGGCTCAAAATATGATCGCAATTCTTGAACTATTTATTTGTACACTGAACACCAATTCATAAATATTTTGCCAAATCAAATAACTTGTAAACATGTAGATAACAGTTATTTAATAAAGTTCTTATAGTCTCTCGAAATAGATGTTCACAAAAAACATAAACTATGGCACAGAATATGCACAGTGTATGCGAGAAACCACTTTTGATTTTTATAATATTCAATATGAATGCACTGTTTAATTATTTATGAATGTAGTCTCCGGGACACTCTCAACATACGCTCAATTACGAGTATTTAAATGAGTTTTATTTTGCTGTTTAGAAAACCATTAAATATTTTGCTCAATTTAATTGATTTCACAGCAATATATTGTATATGCGATAATATGACAATTAATATATACAGTGTATTATTTAAATTAATTATTACAATTACACAACAAAATACATGTAAGAATCAATATTATGTACAAATTAAATGTACTTTTCTTAAGGCATAGCACTTAAAATACTGTAATACTAAAACACATAAACTATCATGGACTTTATTTTCAACTAATGTCTATCAATGTTGTGATAGCAATGAAACATTGCAAAGAGATTGCGTATAAAACTCATACGTAAATCACATATATTGAGGCAACACTACTGCTATACAGTATATCCGACTACCACTACTAAATCACTAAACTTAACTTGTTATAAAAACTAGTTTCGGATCTTCAAATTTAATATGCAGTTATACTTTATACACATTTGACTAGATTTGATAGAATCTACAGTAGTTTGAGTTGAGTTGCACCGATAGTTTGAGTACACTGTAGGGGCGATTAGGGTCGGTCTCGTGACAAGTAGTGTCTATTAATTTCCAAGGCTTTGACGCGATTCTAACATTTGACACAAAATTATCTCATAATTATTGACCACTGAATGCATAGTCCCGTACATACTGTATAAGTTATTATATTTGATTGACTTTTTTATTATAGCCTCAAACTATGAATTAAAAATTATCGCAGCGTTTAGAATATTCATTTTTCATATTACTTTTCTCATATTATACTTTATATTTAAGGTTACATTTTTTCCAAGTTTTTAGTATGATCAGAGTGCATTTATAAATAGTGGTGATTGACATGAGGGTGCATGTCGAAAACCTCCCGAAGCAGCGGTAACACCAGTTTGGGGTCCTTTCGCCAATAGTTGTGTTTATGGGCCTCCTTAACGTTATGTAAATCTATTAATGCATTCATTATCCGCAAGAATTTCGACTTTGATTCGCAATCGCATCGGTATCTCAATATTAAATAGCGGTGAAGTAGGTTCATATAAATCTGCCGTTCCACTCTAGGCATAATTAAATATACAATTATAAATATTAACCGAGATTAATTTAAGTTTAATTACTAAATACTTACTTAATGAGATGACTATCTATAAGGTTTGGACGATTGGGATTAAATATGATTATAGCCGTCAACTGGAAATAAATTTAG